CACATTTTGTAACACACCTCTACTTAATCTCACCTACTTGGATGGCTCAATGGTGTAGGCGTTAGTCTTGGATTAAATTTCAAAACCATGGCCAAAGTTGCCTAATCTTCCTCTGCAGCTGACAGCTTTACCCCAAGATAAGCCAAGAACAAAGACCCGCCTGGGGCATCTTTAAAGCTGTGAAGGTTATTTCTCCCTAACACCTTGCTTCTGTTTCTCACAGATGAGGCTGGAGGAAAAGGGAACACCCTCATAGGTGTAGGGGCCTTCTGTAAGGTGACCAGACAGGTCTGAGCAGCTTTCTGGGCCCCTTGGCAGATAGGAGACAGCAGGGGCCCTTCTCGCAGGATTACGTGATGCACTCCATCCTAGGGATGAATCCAGGACCGCCCTCACCTCCCTTAGATCTTCCTCCTAGAGGGAAGTCCCTCTCAGCCACCTTCGCCAAGCTCTGACCTGTGTCTCCATTAATGGCTATTTACTGCTCACCCCCAATCTATTTATAGCAGTGAGTTTAAACTGCCTACATGATTCAAATTTTAAAACTTACAGTTTTATGGTTTTCAAATAACAATCCATATTTGGATACGTTGTTATCATATCGCTCCTGAACTAGGAGTCATAATAAAATGTTGAGAGGTGGATTTTTAAAAAAGGAAGGAGGTGGGTGGAATCTCCTACAAAGTAAAGATTGTCACTGTCACCTTCTTTTTGTTTTTCTGAGATGAGGTCTTGCTCTGTTGTGCAGGCTTACCTTGAACCCCTGGGCTCAAGGCATCCTCCTGCCTCAGCCTCCCCAGTAGCTGGGACTACAGGCATGTGCCACAGCCCCTGACCCTGTCACCTTCTTTACCCTTCTTTTCCACATCACATGCTCTCAGGGAAGATTAAAGGAAATGATGAACGTGCGACTCAGCACATACCTAGCCATAAGGAATTTGTGATTATTGTCAATGATGGTCTTCCTAGAAGAGTGATTGTCACCCTGTTGTTGTATTTATTTATTATTATTTATTTATTTATGACAGTGGAATGCATTACAATTCTTATTACACATATAGAGCACAATTTTAGTATCTCTGGTTGTATACAAAGTATATTCATACTAATTCATGTCTTTATACATGTGCTTTGGATAATAATAATCATCACATCTAGATAGTGCTTTACCTAATTGGTTTTCTTAATTGATCCATGGGTTTATCCAGTGGCATTATTCCTATCAATGATCATTTCCAAGTGTCTGCACATTACATAAATGAAACACCAACAAAAAGATTAAAAAAAATTAGGGAAGCTGGGGTCTGTAGTACACACCTATAATCCCAGCAACTGGGAGTGTGGGCTGAGGCAGGAGGTTCACAATTCAAGTTCTCGGTCACTGCTGACAACATAGCAAGACCTTGTTTCAAAAATAAAAGATAAAAAAAAAAAAAAGCTGAGGATGTAGCTCAGTGGTAGAGCATCCCTGGTTCAGTTCCTAGTACAGCAAGATTAAAACAAAATAAATAAATCAAGGAGTGGAAAACACTGGTCTATATAAACTGGTATATGCATGCTGGTTCCTGTTTGTCACTCTTCTTGGGATTCAGCCTCCACCTGGCACCCTGCTCTTTCTTGAGTCCCGTAGCTTCAGTAGCTTTTCAGTATTCTTCTCTGACATCCATCCTGAGGCCAAGTGTTTTCTATCCTACTTGGGAGTCTGCCTTCTTCAGCCATGCCCTTAAATGAAAGAGCAGGAGGAACCCCTGGTGGATTTGACCTTCATTCAACAGTGTTTTGCAGGCACTGGACTAGGCACCAGGGATGCACTGTGATAAGATGGAGTTGCTGCTCTCAAGTGGCTTATAGGCTAGAGGAGGACAATTCCTAAGGGTCTGGAGTGGGAGATTGTAACACTTGCACCACTTGTGGGTGAGACTGGAATCAGTGGAACATGTTAGGCTTGAGGCACCCATGGGAGGAGGGCTGAGTCTGAGCCAAAAGCCTGCGAGCGAGAGCAGGTAGACGGATAGATTCCCCAGGCACCAGTGGCCCAGGAAGTGGGCCAGGAACAGAGCTCTGCAGAATTCCAATGACTCCAGTGTCTAAGTGTGGCTTCACATTTCCTTTCATTTAAAGGCACGGAAACAACATAGGGATATTGTTGGGATAATCTGTAGAAGAGCAGTAAGTTGATAGATGAGAAATGCATTTAAATGGCCTGGTTCTGTCCTCTTCTAAGGTCAGGTTGGGGAAAGAACTACCCTGCGATGATGCTGCAGGGCTAGGAACGCTGGCAAATTGCTGGTGGCTGGCACCGTCCACTCACAAGGACACAGATGGCCACAGCAGAGACCTGCACATTTGAAGATCATTTATTAGACCAGAGTATGGAAAACAGCCCAAGTCCTATCCGTATTGTTCATCTGTGAATGGGTTATTACACAGCCATTGAAAAAGTGAGCAAGTTCTTCATGTACTGATCCGTAAAACATCCAGACACGTGCGCTCGCGCACACACACACACAGACTGTGCTTCCAATTGTGTAAAAAACACACAGGGGACAATATGACATTTGCATTCTAAGCACACATTGACATGGATATGTGATATCTCTGGAAAGATTAAAAAAAAAAAAAAAAAACTAGTAGCCTTAGTTGCCCCAGGGAACCAAAGGGTTGAGCAGGATTGGGGGAGGGGGGTCAGCATTCATTTTGTAGCTTTTGAATTCTGGATTATGTAAAAAAGTAACCAATGGGGGGAAATGCCTCTATTTTTAGAAGAAAAGAAAAAGTGATCAAGAGCTGTAGGAGATGCCCGGATGAGAAGCCCCCACAGGATGGAGGGTTAGTGATAGTGAAATATGCTTGTCTTGGATCAGACACACCACTGGCGATCAAGGCTCAGTCATGCTGCCAAGCTGCTCTTTGTGGTCAAGTCTATGTGATGAGAAGAAGGACATTTCTGGGGAAGGCGGCAGGGGTAGAGGTGGTAAGAAGGTTTGCTCAGCCCCAGTGCTAGTGTGCAAGAGATCTCCAGTTCTCGTTGCAACCAGGTAGTCAGATGCTGGAGACCGAGGTTTGGGCTATACAGTTTTTACCCTTTTATATAACTTCCTTGGAGCTGGGGACATAGCTCAGTTGGTAGGGTGTTTGCCTCGCATGCACAAGGCCCTGGGTTCAATCCCTAGCGCCACCAAACAAACAAAAAACCCTTTCTTGTTTTCCTCTTAAATCTCATCCTCTTTCTCATAATGATGGATATCGAAGTCTTAAAATGAAGAGGATCTGCAAGCTTATTTTCCAGAACAAGAAGAAAGGTGGACATCCTAGTGCTGATCCTGGAGGGGAAGAGAGACTTGGCAATCTGGATAGATGGTGACAACTGCCAAGAGGCCAGCAGGACAGGGGGATTCCCTGAGACCTGCCACCTGAAAAAGGAGAGCTACCAGGAGCCTGCCTGGGCCTGTGAACTGCCCGGGGCTCGGGAGAAAGGGGTTCCTCAAATGCAGTGACAGAGAAGCAGTGCTCAGTCACAGGATTAAACCTGAAATTGTCCCAGGTGAGGGAGGCGAGCCCATTCTTGTTGTCACAGAGAGCTAAGCCACTTCTGCGTTCAACAGGCGTTACTTTATCTTCATTGTTACTACAGAGCACAGGGGACACTCCTGTTTATCATCTTTATGCTGATCCTAAAACGGCACTAAAAGCTTCAAATGAGGGAAGATGATCTATCCCCATTTCATCTCCCTTCTCTTTGGTTTTAGCCACTTGCTGCTGTGACTCCAGTTTTGTCCACTCTTTCCCAGAAATACATCATCACACGTGGATGGACTGCCCAAGGGCAGGCAGGTCCCCGCAGAGTCAGTGAAGGATGAGATTCCAGCTCTGCTCACAGGCAGCCTGCATTCTCCTCAGGGGACGATCACATTCAGAAATGAGCAGCAGTGCCCGCCGAGAGCATAGGGTCAACACCAAGACAGAGGACTTGATAATAATGGCTCCAGGGCTCATGTTGACAGAGGAGTCCTGGAGGATCAAGATATTCAAGTTTCTGGGATTTGATGGGCCTCGAAAGACAGGTTAGACAGATGTAAGGGAGGTCTAAAAGCACTTCAGGTGGGACCATCTGTGTGAGGCACCCTTGTGGGATGACAAGGGACCCAGTTAGCTGGAGAAGACAGAATGAACAATGTCAATGAGCGTCTAAAGGAGGCATTCCCCAGATCCAGAGAAACCCACGCACTGCAAATGTAGCTGTCAGGGCTTTCGAGAGATGTGCCAAGTGATCCAATATGATCCACAACTAGCCTGCCAGGCGTGGAGGAAGAGGATGGGTCTGGGGAGGCTGTGGGATCTGTGTTTGACACAATCCTCTTACGTCTCTCTACACAGTTGGAGCCAAGGTAAGGGCAGACTTTAACAAGACTCCACTCTCTCCCTGCAAGCTCAGCTCGTGTTATTCTTTTCTCTCCCTGTCTCCATTCCCTTTCCTGTGCATGGCCAGATGTGGAGAAGAGACCCTCTCTCACTGTGAGTTGTGGTTGGGATCTCAACCTGTGATGTTCTGTTTTAGGGAAGATGTACGCATGCGTAGCTGAGGAGGGAGTATAGAACGTGGGAACCATGCCAGCACTCCTGTGGTCTGGGAATCGTCCGTGTTCAGAGCCAGCTGTGACACTGTTTAGCTGGGTGGACTTGGGCTGTCACTGTCACCCGGTCCTTGGTTTCTTTTACTTGTAAAATGAAGGTTCGCTAAGACCTTCCTGCCTCATATGATTTTCTTGAGGTGCAAATGAAATAATGTTAGTGAAAGTACTTTGGAGACTGAAGACTTTACTAGCAGCAGTTCCAGGTGAAGACTACCTGGGCACAGAGGGGAGTGGAATTGGCTGGGTAAGTGCCAGCCAGCCCTATGATTTTATAAAATTATTTTATATCACTATAAGAAGTTTAATTATGAGCTGCCTTTGATGTTTTAATAGCCCTCACTCTAATGACACTGTTTTCCTCCTTAGATGTCCCTGAGTTCCAGCTCCCCTCTGAAAGTTCCAGCATGGTCCCCTCAAGCGTCAGGGGGATCCCCAGCCCTCGAAGCAGCAACTAAGATCCTCATGCAGCACCTTCAGAGACACCCTGGGCTCCAGTCATTCCTCATCCAGGATCAGAGCCACAGCTGATCTGAAAGTGGAATAGAACTGTTCTAGAAATGACGAGATGCTCTATGTGGCGGCGAGCTGGGTTCTCCAGGCTTCTCCATTAGAAGCCCTTCCAGTTTAAGTTCCTCGTTGTAAAAGTGAGTCCTCCAGTGTCCCAGTGAAAACAAATTAAAAGCAAAAATGTTGAAAAATTTGTATTACAAACTTAGAAACGTGGTGGTAGCTAACGTGGGATTGGTGAAGGGTCAATTTTGGGTGTGTGAGGCAGGTCCAGGAGGAAATGACAGCACACCCCCCAGCTCCTTGGGCAGTTTAATGAGGAGCTATTTATCATGGTGACTTACCTGGTTTGCTAGGGCCCGTGTCCCTTTTCTCTGTGTCTGTGTCCAAATCTTTCTTTGTGTGTTTGGTGCCAGGATTGAACCCAAGGCCTCCAATGTGCTCTACCACTGGGCTGCACCCCCACCCCACAAATCAGTTTTGATAAAAACACCAGTCCTGTTGGATTAGGGCCAATCCTAATGGCCTCACTTAACCCTAATTACCTCTTTAGAGGCCCTGTCTCCAAATATGGTCTCATTTGAAAACACTGGGAGGTAGGACTTTGGCATATAAATTTGCAGGGGACACAATTTGGCCCATGACACACACTACAGACAAGGTTCAGAGAAGCAAGAAGGGATGGTGAGACACCCAGGAACTAGCACCAGCAGAAACCTTTAGCATCCAGGCTGCAGAAGTAGATGGGAGACAGTGGAGATCCTGGGACCTAGTCACAACTATAGCCACAAGAAAGGAGTCACCTCCAGAATGTGTGCCATGGGGTAGAGGAAAAGCCACTGTTAAGACCAGGCAGGGAGGGGAGAGGGATAAGACCTGCCCCTTCTCTTACCACACTCCTGACAGAGCTTCTGCTGTTCACCATCTGGAGCGGGAGCAAACACACCTGGGTGCCACTGTCAGATGCCAGCCTCCTGAGGCAGAGAGCAGAGCTGCCAGGTGAGCTGGGAGGCTGGGTGATGAGGAGACACAGAGAGTGAGTGGCACAATGGAGGGAAAGAGTACGTTACCAGAGGCAGAATTACAATTAATGTTTGAGAAACTTAAATGGTCTTTAGTTACTGGAAAACAGAAAATGTCACTTTCCTGCAAAAATATTAGTCATACATTCTAAACTAGACCACCTACCCCATAACCATGTCAATGTCCCAGAAGTTACCATTCTAGAAAACATATCGACCCAAGTAAAGCAAAAAAAAAAAAACAAATATGTTTGTCAAATTTGTTTGTGATGTTTGAATACTTACATTCTTATAGTGTGTACTATAATATATAGACACACACACACACACACACACACACACATACACATGTATATATATTTTTAATGGTTTAAAACAGTTACCTGCCTGGCAGGATGACACAGGGCATGATGGTTTGAATGTCCAAATGAAAGGTAGGGACCAAACATGACCAAATTACAATTAATGTGTTGGCACCATCCTGGGTGGCACTAGTGTGTGTCATCCTGCAATTAGCCCTTATGTCCTTGGGCAAAGCAGCTGGCTCTCAGGAAGGGCACCCTCTCCCTGGAGCCTGAGTCCCCGTGGTTGCTCCCGGGAGCCACAAGCAGGTATGGAAGCTGAGGTGGCCTGCATCCTCGCCCGTCTGACCTTGCTTGGCCCAGTGCACCCTTTGATTATGTCAAGAGCCAGTCACATTGTGGGCAGATGTTCAAATGGGCCAGACTAGTGTCTACCCCCAGGCCCTTTTGGATCTTCTGCACCAGGGATCTACCAAGAGAAAAAGGGCTCAGCCAGTGCCAGCATCTGTGCTTTGCTTTAGCTGCATTTGAGTTCTCTCTTCCTGTATCACAGAGCATTCCAAATTTATTTGCTGCATGGAGAAGTCAGCTATTTTCTTCAAGAATCTGAAGTTTGGGCAGGGATCTTTACAGGGAGCTTGAGTCTAGTCCACATTCCACTTCCAAGATGGCGGAGGGACAGGTGGGCACTCAGCTAGGCTGAGGGTGGGGCCCGTTTCCCTCCATATGGCCTGGGCCTCAGGGCATGGGGCTAAGCCAGATGGAATCTGAATCACCTCTTGATCTTGGAAGTCTCATAGTGTCACTTCTTTCATCCCTCGTTGGCCAGAGAGACTTGTCCAATTTCAAGCAGAGGTGACAGACTCTGGAAAGTGGCAAGGTTCTGGAAGTACATGTGGGCTGGGAAATATTTTTGCAAATATTTTGGAATAGACTCTGCCTCAGGATGGTTCCTTGTGTGCCCCTTAACTGTCTGTACGTCATAACACAGTGGTATGAACTAGAAACAATCAATAAAGATGATATGGCTATTCATTAATTCAGCAAAACTTTATAGAATACCTACTGTGCTAGGTTTTGGGAATAGAGTTGTCCCTCAGAATGTGAATTCTGACATCAAAATCAACTGATGCTCAAGTCTCTTGTGGACAAATGGTGTGATATCTGCCTATAACCTACATATATTTGCATGTAACTTTTTATTTCTTTTGGTGCCAGGAATTGTGGTTAGAGTCTTGTGTGTGCTAAGCATGGGCTCAGTAAGCTAGACCCCCCAGCCCCTCCCATATACTTTAAAATGTTTCTAGATGACTTGTAATAACTAACACAATGTAAATATGTTGTAAATAATATAAGCAGTTATACTATATGACATAAGGAATAAAGACAAGAAAAGGCAGCTTGTACGTGACCAGTACAGAGATGATGATGGTGGACCTAACTACAAAGTATACTTTGGCACCAGGAAAATTGTCTTTTTCCGATTTTTGTGATCTCTGATTGGTTGAACTCTAGGATATAGGCCCTGTGGATACAGAGGGCCTAGTGTGTAGGTGTGAGAAAAACCTACTCCTGCTTTCAAGGCGCTATTCCAGCTGGGGAGTGGACAGCAGCTATGATAATACCATGCTGGCTGCAAGGAGTGTGTACTGTGCCAGCCCCCAGAAGGGACAAGTAAGCCACTCCTCGGGGAGTTACAGAAGTGACATCCAAGCACAGACCTGGGAATAAGTAGTAAATAGGAAGTGAGTTGGAACAGTTCAGAGAAGAATAAGATGGAAATATGCAGAGATCCAAGGCAAAACAGGTGACCAACTATCCCGGTTGCCCAGGACTATCCTGGGTTTCACCAAGTCCAGGAAGCCCCTGGGTCTCTGGGAATTAGCCTTGGGCTGGTGAATGGTCTAGGAAAGCTGGCATCTACAGAAGTTGGAGTGAAGCCATGGTGGGGTTAGAGAGAGAGAAAGCTGGAAAAGTAGCCAAGAGTCCAAGCAGGAAGCCTAGCCATGGTAGAGGTGAGGGCTTCATCACAGGCAGCTGAGCAATCAGGGATTTAAAGCCGTAGAGTGACTTGCCAAGACTTGCATATAGAAAGAGCTGTGGCTCCTGGATAATTAAGAAGAGGGATAATATTATTCAGCTATGAAAGGAGGTGAAATCCTGTCATTTGCAACAACATAGATGGAACTTGGGGACAATACATTAGGTGAAATAAGCCAGGTACAGAAACAGAGACAGATACTATATGTTCTCATTCGTATGGGGAAACTCAAAAAGTTGATGTCATAGAAGGAGATGGTAGAACAGAGGTCATCACTGGAGGCTGGCAAGGGGTGGGGCCAGGGGATAACAGGGAGGGAGGTCAGATAACAGGTACCAAAGCACAGTTAAAACCAGGCATGGTGGTGCGCACCTGTAATCTCAACTACCTGAGGAACTGAGGCAGGAGGATTGCAAATTTGAGGTCAGTTTGGGCCACACAGCAAGACCCCATTTCAAAAACAATAATGCAAGCCAAGTATGGTGGTGCATGCTTGTAATCTCAGCAACTCGGGAGACTGAAGCAGGAAGATTGTAAGTTTGAGGCCAGCCTCAGCAATTTAACAAAACCCTGTCTCAAAAAACAAAAAAGAGCTAGGGACATAGCTCAGTGGCAGAGCTCCCCTGGGTTCAATCCACCAAAACAAATACCAACAAGTAATGCAGAGTTAGACAGAAGGAATAAGTTCTAGTCTTCTACAGTACAGCAGGGTGCTGTAGTGTACAATAATTCATTGTATACTTTATAAAGAATTAGGAGAAGAGTTTGATGTTTCCCAGAACAAAGAAATGGCAAATGTTTAAGCAGATGGAAATGCTAATTATCCTGATGTGATCATTACACATTGCATTGATATATCAAATTATCACATTGTACCCCATAATTATGTGCAATTAAAAAAAAATGATTTTGAAAGAAGAGAGGATGAGAGCAAGCTATGGGAAGGCACAACAGAGAAGAAGCGAAGAAACAAGTTCCCAGGGCCTCCCTCCAAAGGACAGGGAATGCACGGGGAGCTTGTCCAAGCCTAGAAGAGGCCTGGGACAGCCAGACCTGTGGGTCCAGACAAGCTGAAAGGGAGCCGAGAGCTGGTCAAGAGCACCTTCTTAACCATCCATTCATTTTACCCTGCCCATCTTTGTCCATCTTCTACTGCAGTTATTTCTGCGTGTTTCTTATTCCCTCCTACCCTCTAGATTGAGAATTCTTCAGAGGATCCTAGTCTCACCCACTCCATATTTCCACATTTTCTCTTATGCATTCCGCACATGATTGGCATTTGATGGTAACACTGTCACCAGAATGTCATCGGAGGATGGGAAATGTTCATTTCTCAGCAGCCTCTTCAGTCACTAGCAATAACAGCAGACAGACACTAGAGGGCACTCCTTCCTCTTTTATCTGAGTCCAGGGCCCTGCACCTTTTCTGCCCAGTTAGGTCTCTTACTCCACCATCACTCACGTTGTGGAAAACATAGTTTTCACCACTATTGAGGAGGGGGTTTGAGGAGTTTTGAATATGTATAGCAACACCTCAGGCAAATGCTCATTTATCCAGCTCAGGTCTTTGATTCCATTAGAATTATTCCAACAAATATGAGTTTTTGAAAAACTTCCAGTCTAAAGAAGAAACCCATATTTAAAAAAATAATCAAC